TCCCATTATTACATAATTAATTTTTTTCAGTTTGAACAATTTGTTTCCCTTTTTTTTAAAAGATTTTATTTATTTATTTGAGAGAGAGAAACAGCACGAGAGGGGAAAGGGTCAGAGGGAGAAGCAGGCTCCCTGCCAAGCCGGGAGCCCGATGTGGGACTCGATCCCAGGACTCCGGGATCATGACCTGAGCCGAAGGCAGCTGCTCAACCAACTGAGCCACCCAGGTGCCCTTTCCCTATGTAAGTAAAACAAAAACAGTTTTCGTTTTTGTTTCTGTATCCCCTTTTTTATGGTTTTGCAGCAGAATGCCCAACATGAAACATAATTGCAAATATTCACCTGTGCACAAGAGAATAGTGCGAAGTACAAATGGAGACATGATTTTTTTAAATAAATACTTAAACACAACTCAGGTCCCACAAGCGCCTGGACTCTAAGGTGTGTGTCGCAAAACAAAACAAAAACAAAAACCAGTTTTCTGATATAGAACATCCAAAATGAATTATAAAACATACAACAGTATACTTTAATATTCCTTTAGAATAAAGTCCATAAAGCATTCTCTCAAAAAAAGGGGGGGGCACCTGGGTGGCTCAGTTGGTTAAGCGTCTGTCTTTGGGTCAGGTCATGATCCCAGGGGCCTGGGATCAAGCCCCGCATCAGGCTCCCTGCTCAGTGAGAGAGCACAAGCAAGGGGAGTGGCAGAGAGAGAGGGAGAAGCAGACTCCTTGCTGAGCAGGGAGCCCGATGCGAGGCAAAACAAAATTCTTTTAAATAAGAAGTAATGTTTCCCTCCCCTCCATCTTCAGCCTCTCTCCAAAGGAAACCACTGTTAGGTTTCTTTTTTTTTTTTAAGATTTTATTTATTTATTTGACAGAGAGATAGAGAGCACAAGTAGGCAGAGTGGCAGGCAGAGGGAGAGGGAGAAGCAGGCTCTCTGCTGAGCAGGGAGCCGGACATGGGGCTCGATCCCAGGACCCTGGGATCATGACCTGAGCCGAAGGCAGCCGCTTAACCGAGTGAGCCACCCAGGCGCCCCACCACTGTTAGGTTTCTTATGATAAGAAACATTTTTTCTCCTAAGTTTTTATAAAAAAGAAAACAGGCACCTGGGTGGTGTAGTCAGTTAAGCATCTGACTCTTGGTTTCGGCTCAGGTCTGATCTCAGGGTTGTGAGATCCAGCCCTGATCTGGCTCCATGCTGCGGTGGGGAGGGGGGTCTGCTTGAGTTTCTTTCTCCCTCTGCCCCTTTCCCCTGCTCTCTCTCTCAAATAAATAAATAAATCTTAAAAAAAAAAAAGAAGCCAAAGGCTATGCATGTGCCCAAATAACTCTATTTATAGTTCTTTTATTTATTTTAAATCCTAAAGTGATATTATATATACTGTTCTAAGTCTTGTTTTGTTTTTTATGCACTGTACCTTGAAAAAAAATTTTTTTGAGGCATAATTGACATAGAACATTGTATTAGTTTCAGGGGTATAACATAATGATTTGGTATTTGTATATATTCAAAACCATCACTACAAAAAATCTCATCTGTCATCCTACAGAATTAAATGTTTTTTCTTTTGCTTGAGATGATGACTTGAAGATCTTTCTAGTCAGCACATATAGACTTCTATCATAGTATTTTTTTTTAAGATTTTATTTATTGATTTGCTAGAGAGAGAGAGAGAGTACAAGCAGGGGGAGTGGCAGGCAGAGGGAAAAGCAGGTTCCTTGCTCGATCCCAGGACCCTGGGATCATGACCAGAGCTGAAGGCAGCCACTTAACCGACTGAGCCACCCAGGCGTCCCGGTCGTAGTATTTTTAATGGGTCTCTCCGTTGATGGAGATTTTGGTTCGTTCCAGTGGGTGCTAATCTAATATAAATGTTGCTGCAGGGGTGCCTGGCTGGCTCAGTCGTTGGAGCATGTGACTGTTGATCTCAAGGTTGTAGGTTTGAGTACCACACTGGGTGTACAGATTACTTAAAAATAAAATCTTTTAGGGGTGCCTGGGTGTCTCAGTCGTTAAGCGTCTGCCTTTGGCTCAGGTCATGATCCCAGGGTCCTGGGATTGAGCCCTGCATTGGGCTCCCTGCTCCACGGGAGGCCTGCTTCTCCCTCTCCTGCTCCCCCTGCTTGTGTTCCCTCTCTCGCTGTGTCTCTCTCTGTCAAATAAATAAATGAAATCTTTAAAAAAATAAAATTTTTTAGGGGTGCCTGGATGGCTCAGTTGGTTAAGTGTCTGACTCTTCAGTCCAGGTCTTGATCTCAGGTTTATGAGTTCGAGCCCCGCACTGGGCTCCATGCTGGGCTGGAGCTTACTTAAAAAAAAAAAAAAAAAAAAAAAACTTTAAAAAAATAAACAAACACTGGTGCCGTGGACATCTTTGTATGTTTGCTTTGGGATACTTCTACAAGTCCAAATTCCTAGGAGTGATCAGAGGGCAAATACATTTTAAAACTTGTATGGCTAAATTTTCTTCCGGAAAGGGTGCCCCAGTTTACGTGCCCACCAAGAGCGCGTGAGTGCCTGTTTCCAGGTGGCTGTAAAGAAACCTGCCCCTGCCAGGAGCCCTTCTACATCGTCTGTGGTGAGACTGGTGCTCAGCAGGAAGTAGGCCCAGCTTCCCTGCTGCAGGACAGCCGTCAGCTTTTGCCTCCTCCCCTGCAAATCTCCTCCCAGAGCTTGTGAGGTGACCGTTTCCGCATGGGAGCCAGCTGCCTCTCTTTTAGCGCAGGGGGAGCACTCCCTGGATTCCCTTTATCTCGTTAGTGAGGTTTTCCCTCTCTGTCCTGGGGTGAGAGAGTGAATAACCACATCTTCTGGCTCTTCCAGGTGAAGAAGGCATATAGGCAGAAGGCCCTGTCCTGCCACCCAGACAAAAATCCAGATAATCCCAGAGCAGGTGAGACTCTCCCAGGTGTGGGAAGGTGAGACCTGCGCATGCTGACGTGGTGTCTTCCCCATCTCCACTCCCGTGTGCGTGCTGGGCAGTGCTGGCACGCACAGGCAGCCTGGCTTTGGGGGCACAGCCCGAAACCTGCACTTTGCATGTGAGGGGCATTGGTCAGTTGTCTGTACACCCCCATGCCTTTGCTGGTCCATCATCTGCTGATGTCGGCCTTCCTGCCAGCCCGTGGCTTCTTTGAGGTGCTTTTCTGAGGGAGCACACCATCATCAAGCCCGACTTCATTATTCTTTTTTTTTTTTTTTAAGATGAGCTGCCGTGTGTGAGAAGAATATTTAAAAAAAATATTTTTTTTTTTCATAAAAAAAAAAAAGATTGTATTTGTTTATTTGAGAGAGAGTGAGCGAAAGAGAGAGCACGAGCAGGAGAAGGAGCAGAGGGGGAGCAAGCAGGCAGATGCTTAACTGACTGAGCCACCCAGGCGCCCCTGACTTCATTTTTGTCCTCTCTCTTTCTTGATCCATATTTTTAGCTGAGCTCTTCCACCAGCTTTCTCAGGCCTTGGAGGTACTGACCGATGCTGCAGCCAGGGTAAGCTCATCCTCCTCTATCTGACTGTCCCTGTAGTTAGACACCACTGTGGCCCCTCGGCCTCAGTCCCCTATCCTCTGCCCTGCAGCACAGTCCTTGCTGCCCCAGCCTGAGGCTTGGTCGCCAGGCTGCTTCCTGACAGCTCTCGGGCTACATGGCTGGGCTCCAGGCTTGTCCTCGAGCTGACTGCTCCTCGGTGTTCCTTTCTCCTGCCAGGCTGCATATGACAAAGTCAGGAAAGCCAAGAAGCAGGCAGCAGAGAGGACCCAGAAACTTGATGAGAGAAGGAAGAAAGTGAAGCTTGGTAGGTGACATCGTGGTGCTGGGTGGCCTTTGGTTTCCCTGGGCCATTTTCATGCAGCCCCTCACCTTTCTTCCTGGAGCTATAATTCTAGCACCTCAGAGCTTTTTTGCTCCAGGTCTGGGCAGAGCCCTGCTATCAGGGATGGGTTCTAAAGGACACAATTAGGAATAACAACAGTGACTAGATTTACTGCCAGCTAGCTTGTGACAGATGCTTTACAGCCTCCTTTAATTATCACAACTATCCAAAGAGGTAGGTATTACTAAATCCATTTTTTTAAAGATTTTATTTATTTATTTGAGAGAGAGAGAATGAGAGATAGAGAGCACGAGAGGGAAGAGGGTCAGAGGGAGAAGCAGACTCCCCGCCAAGCAAGGAGCCCGATGTGGGACTCGATCCCGGGACTCTGGGATCATGACCCGAGCCGAAGGCAGTCGCCCAACCAACTGAGCCACCCGGGCGCCCACTAAATCCATTTTTTATAGATAAAGAAGCTAAGGCACTGAAAGGATAAGAACTTGCTGGAGTTAACCACACGGTATGAGCAAAGTCTGTGTTTTTGTTCAGTATGCCATCCGGGATCTTTTGATGCATCCCAGCCTCACTTCTGCACAGAGCTTTCACTCTGTGGAGTCCCCTCAGAAGAATCCAAATAGGTCCAGGCATTCTTTTTTGAAGCTTTATTATGATGTATTTTGAATATCATAACATCTACCCATTTCAAGTGTACAATTCAATGGTTTTGAGTAAATTTCCCAAATGGTGAAAGTATGACTGTAAATCAATTTGAGAACATTTTCGTCACTGCAGTAAGATTGTTCCAGGCAGTCTTTACCCAATTTTTCTCCCCTTCTTCTTGCCTATTTGACATCCACATATTTAATATGTACATATACCATCCCAGTACATCCATCTTGCTATCAAAAACAAACAAAAAACCCTGGTGATTCTAGGTAAGTAAAGTACCCAGAGAAGCAAGCTGTGCGTGCCAGGCCTGAGAGGAGGGTTTGTCACAGCAGCTGGCCTGGGCTCGGGCCACGAGCAGGTGTCTCTTGGAAGGTAGGAAGGGCTCCAGGACATGGCGTGATGTCCTCACACAGACTCTGCCATCGCTGTAGGAGCCACCAGAGTCAGATCCAAAGTGAGGCTTGGTAAATGTGAGCTCAGAGGGAGGTAAAGGAGACAGTGGGGGCTTGATCTCTGTGGTGGGAGAAGCATCGTTGCCAAGGCTGAGGCCAGGTTGTCGTGCCAAAGCACGGGAGCAGGCCAGCAGCTCCACCCTCGGCATCCCTGCCACATGGCCCTGGGCTGCTGACATAAGCACCCACCCACAGCCTGTTCATTGATCGGAGAACGAGCTTCGTCAGCATGAGCTGATTTAACTCTTCCAGACCCCAGCCACTCAGCTGGAGCCTATGCTTCATCTGTGCTATGACTTTTCTCAACAAAGGCTAACTTGGGAGCACATGGACATGGAGGGAGGATGTGGAGCTACTCTATGGTTTCATCCTGTGTGAGACTTTGGGCAGGCTGTAGCCATGTAGAAACTGCTTAGACCAGACATTGGGTCATTCAACTCTTGTGCCCAGACTTGGAGGCCCGAGAGCGGCAGGCCCAGGCCCAGGCCCATGGCAGTGAGGAAGAGGAGGAGAGCCGGAGCACCAGGACATTGGAGCAGGAGGTGAGCGTCCAGGCGTGCTAGCCTAAATCTATCTGCAGGAAGAGGAGGAGAGTGGGCCTCGGTGGCTTTTGTGGCTGCGGACAGCATGCACTTTCCCTTTTCTTCTGTGGGATCTGGGTAATCGCTGAGCCCTAGCTTGCAGGTGGAGCCTCCCAGGGACCTTCACAAGGTGAGCCAACCTGGAATTGGATCTGCACAAAATTGTCACTCCCCCCAACCCTGCTCTGCAGATTGAACGCCTTCGAGAAGAGGGTTCCCGGCAGCTGGAGGAACAGCAGAGGCTGATCCAGGAGCAGATACGCCAGGAACGGGAGCAGAGGTTGAGAGGTAAGCGTCTCTCACCTCCACCCACCTCCCCTCTGAGGCAGCTTGAAATGCCCAGAGCAGGCACACCACCTGCTTGGTGGAGTTGCTCTGGAGGCTTCCACCTGCTTGCAACCCTGGGGGCACCTGACTCAGACATACACCACCTGTCCCTTCTTCCCACCACTTCTCTGGGGCCTGTTTATTTTTCACCATGCCTGAGATCTGCTGGCCCTGTTTGTCTGAGTCCTAAGCAGAGCTGGCTCTATTTTGGAGCAGATCAGTAGAGGAAAGGCTCTAGGATACTTTGTTTCAGTAGAACTATGGCGTTTGCACCTCTGTCTTAACCCTTTATTGGCAGAGTGCTAATCATGGCCTTCAGCAGGCAGCCGGGCAGACCGCCCCTGAGGTGGCAGCTCCTCTGGATGGGGGTGGGATTGCCTCTACCTTCCCCACCAAGCTCATCAGCAGGGAGGGCAGATACTGCCTTTGGTAAGGAGTGACCTTTTATAGGTCTTTGTGTCTCCTTTAGAGAACCTGCTGGCTCCCTCCTATTCTACCTTGCTAATTTTCCCAAAATTTTTAGGAAAGGCAGAAAATCCTGAAGGCAGAGGAACCCCCAAACTAAAGGTGAGCTAAAGCTAAACTCCCAAGCTAAACCCCCTGTGGGATCCATGAGCCACTGCACACTACCTCTTGTCAGCAAGAACAGATGCTTCTGGGGGTTCAAGGGGTTCTGGCGGGGATGCTGGGCCTCTGGGAGCCAGCACTACCACCCACATCCTTCCATCCTCCCACTGCCTGGGGATCGGGCCGGCCTCTCAGAGCTCGCCCCGAAAGGCCCCCTGAGCCCTGGCGGTTCCCGGGCAGCACTCCCCAGAAGCCCTGGAAGGGGAGCATCTCATGGGGCCGGAAGTGCGGCTTCCGGTGAGCACGCCACCCTCCCTATCCGTTTTCAAGCGGAACACATTTGCGGTGGCGCTCCCTAGATGACAAGTGCTGGAAGACCATGAGTGTCGCTCAGAGTGTAAAGCCCAGGTGCGGCGCTGGGACAGTTCAGGCTGAGGTCAGAGTTTAATGGTGGCGCTCGCTAATGTCTTTTCAGCTAAAATGGAAGTGCAAGAAGGAAGATGAGTCAAAAGGCGGCTACTCCAGAGATGTCCTCCTACAGCTTTTCCAGAAGGTCTGCCCTGCTGCCTTCCCTCTTTACCAACATCTCTGTCTACATCTCAGCCAAAACCCCAAATCTCCGTGCCTAAACGTTTTCTGCCTCACAGACCCTAGGGCAGCCTAGAGGCTTTCCCCAGCTACGGTCCTCTGGTCCCTGGGTTGCCATGTACCCTCAGCCCGGTGTCGCCTTCCCTGCCCTGCTCTAGGAGTGTGTGGGGAGAGATGAGGTGGGCACATGGCACAGAAGCCCCGTCCCCTTCCGCACCTTTGGTGGCAGTCTCAGTCCTCAGTCCTTTGCCCGGCTCTCGTTTGCCATCCTTCTGCATCCTTGCAAAAATCTTTCTTTCCCATCTCTGATCCCTCTCTGGGAACTTAGCAACAAAGCATTATGCCCCAACCAAAAATGCCCCGGCAGGCCTCTGGCCAACCCAAACTTGTCTTGCTCCCGAAGGCTGAGCCATGCTTACTGGGACCCCCTTGTCCTCACAGTATGGAGAGGTGCTCCACCTGGTGCTTTCCAGTAAGAAGGCTGGCACTGCCGTGGTGGAGTTTGCAACCATCAAGGCTGCGGTGAGTGCTGTGGGAGGCTTTGGGGGGCCATGGTGGCCCCACTATTCCAGAGTAGGGAGCCAGTACTGTGGGCCCTCTGAGCTTAGGTATCCACACTCCCAGAGAGCCTCGCCCTGCCGATTCCTGGGAGTAGAGGCACAGCGAGTGAAGGTAAGGGCGGGAGAATGCTCTGGGGATGAAGGACAGCATAGACCGACTCTGTTTCCTGCTGCCTGGCTCCACACCCTCTCCCTTCCTGTGGAAGCTGACATGCCTCCAGGCATGCTTTGCCTCTCCCCCCACTCCCCAGTTAGAAGGCTCGTAGCCCCCACTCACCCATGAGGAGGGTCAAAGCTTCAGCCCGTCATTGTGTGAAGGTTGCTTGGTTTTCCCTGGAGGATGATAGTGCTGGTTCTGATTCTTTCTGCGGGTGTAGAGAGAGCCACTTTATGGCTGATTGGAGCCATGGGACCAAGGACTGGATACTGTGTTTGGCAGGAGCTGGCTGTCCAAAATGAAGTGGGCCTGGTCGATAACCCTCTGAAGATTTCCTGGTTGGAGGGACAGCCCCAGGGTGTGGGGGGCCCCAGCCACCCAGGACTGTCGCAGGTAAGGAACCACACCTCCCTCAGCTGCGTCTGCTCAGGGTGTGAGGGACCTTTTCCTGTCTGGGCTCTGCTCAGGGCCCTTTCCTCCCAAATCCAGGTCATCAGGAGCAGAGTGAGATTGGCAGTTTTGCCATCCTGAACAGGACTGGGATTCTGTTCTGACTCTTTCTGTCTCTGAGTGCCAGGACCCCACCCCACACAGAATTCTTAGACCTTCCTTTCCCTCCATGTCCCCCGGTCTCTGGCTGGGGCTCCCACCACTGCCCAGAGGGGCTTTCCTGGCCCACGGGCTGCTTGGTTGTGGTGTGAAGCACTGAGCGCTTCGACTGCCCGGTGCCCCAGGGAAGGAAGGGGCAGGCAGCGTGAGCAGCCGCTTGCTACCTGGCTCTGGCTCAGTTCTCCAGGTGTGTCCGGGGCTGCCCCGGTAGGGGCCTACGGTCAAGAGGCAGAATCTCCTCAGCATCAGCACTGGCTCCCCTGCTGGCCCTAGGGTGCCGCCTGCATGCACGCTTTGTGTTGCAGCACAGATTTCAGCTGCTCATGCTGGCTCTTGAGCTCAGCTGCGTGAGGCATTCTGTTCGGCACCTGCACACGCGCACACCTGGCCCTGGTTACACCGCCCCACTTTGGCGGGACAGAGAGCCTTCGGGCCCAGAACTGTCCCTTCTCTGAAATGGCCTGCAGATCTGTGCAGGAGCCTCAGGCTGCCGTGCTCACAGCCCGACCTGTGGGGGAGAGGGTCCCCGGGGTCTGCAGGGCTTTGCTCTCATTGCCTCAGCCACGCCACCCCTGCTCTCCTGTGTGCTCCTCAGCTGGCTGGAAGGATGGGAAGCTCCCTGGGCGTGTGGCCCAGATCTGGGCAGAGGAGAAAGATGAACGGGTCGGAGCCCTTCTTTAGAGACCTAATTCCCCGCTGTTAAGTCCCAGCATTTCACAGCCCCAGATGACACTCCATAGGCCATGTTACAAACAACTTTATTCATTTTCTCCTGCATCTAGAGGGGAGGCTTTCACCTCCACAAGTCCGCGCAGAGGAGGGAAGAGGGAGGCCATAGGCTGGGGTATGCAAGCAGTGTGCGTCGAAGCTTCTCTCCCCGTCTGCCAGGCTTGGAGAGGCTTAGCGTGTCAGAACCACGTGACCAGCCATTGTGGTTCTGGTTTCAAGTCTTCTGGCCAGGCCACAAGCTGGGAGCCCTAGCACAGCCTTTGGCCTTGACCAGTGGGCTCGGCCCTGGGTGGCGGGCCCCCATCATCAGGGGGTTCGGGCAAGGCAGAGCTCCCCAGTCCTGGTGGAGAATTCTGGAGACTCGCTGAGCTTCTTCACAGTAGCAGCCACGACTTTTGTGTCCATCCCCTGATCCGGTTCTCCTATGCTCTTGGGGCAGAAAGGGAAATCTGCCACTGTTTCTGCTACATCTCCCAAGGGTTCCCATCACTAATAACTGTGGGAACTCCTCCAAGCAGCCCTTTGCAGGCTGCGCCTGTGCCTGTGGCTGGCGGCCCCTACAGCCTCCTTCCTCAGGCTCAGGGCATGCTCTGGGCAGCAGCGTTGGCAGCTTGTCTCTCTTGTCCCTTTTCGGCAAATGATTTGTTTGGCCTTCCCCGAGTTGTGCTCTGCACCTCTACCTGCCTCGCTCTTCCTGCTCTGCCAGCCCCGCCCCTGCAGGGCCTGGCTGTCCCCCTCACCCACCGTGGCACTCGTGGCTCCAGGCTGTGGCCTAGACCCATGCTGCCCACTAGGGCTTTCTCCAGTGATGTTCATGTTCAGCCCGCACTGTCCAATGTGGTAGCCATTCGGCACGTGTGGCTGTTGAACATTTGAAATGTGGCTCGTGCAACCAAGGCACTAAATGTTTAATTTTACTTAGTTGCAATGTGAACAGCCACATGTAGCTAGTGGGGGGGGACCACTTTTGTCTAGTCCTGTCCTGTGATGTGTTAACAGTGGCTTCAGAGGGGCTGGTGCAGGGCACCTGCCTGACCTGCACAGTCTGCATGTCCTCCACTCCCCGACACACCTTGTGCTGCCCTCCCCCTCTGCTGGCCTCTGCCCCGTCCCTGTGGTTACAGGCGTGGCCTCAGCCTAGCTAGCTGCCTTCAGGGCTCCTGCCAGTGAGTGCCCCTCACAGCATTTCCGGCTTGCCTCTGTCCTTCTGTCCGGACACTGTGCTCCGGGGTGACGTGGAGGACTGTTCAGGACCTGGAGGGCAGGCAGGATCCTGGATTCCTATCCCTACCTTTTTCTTAATCTGCAGCTGCACCCTCTTTCCAGGCTTCTGGCTCCTCCAGTTACCCCACCTCTGCCCACCCGCACCCCATTCAGAAGCCAGGTTCACTCGGAAATTGCTCCCTCAGCATCTGTAGAACTTCCTCAAGAAGTGAAATCCCCAGGTCTACTTTGAAGGAGAAGAAGGGATCACTCAGGTCTGGAGCAGGTGTCCCCTGGAAAGGGGGAGTGTCCAGAAGGTTGTCCTCAGAGTAGTGGTGGAAGGTGGCCGCCAGGGAGAGCGCCGAGGGCAGCGTGGCCGAGTAGGCAGCGGTGTAGGCAGGGGGGGGGCTCCAGGATGTTGGGGCAGCTGGAGCTGTCTCGGTAGAGGCGGGGAGGCTTGGGTGGGGCCAGCAGGGTGGCCCGGGGCTGCTCGTCCCCGCACAGGGGCAGGCGCCGGCCATCCGGCCGCCCTCGCAACTCCCGGATGACCTCTCGGTTGCTGTATTCCTCGTGGTCCCCGCCAGCCGTGCTTGCCTGGCTGAGCACACTGCCCTGTCGCCGGAGTCGCCTCGGCCGCCCTAGGCTCAGCCGCTTGAAGAAGGAGGCGTTGCGGAAGGAGCCTTTCCGCCAGGTCTCCATGGCACCCAGGGGAGCCAGCAGACGAGCCTGGTACCTCAGCAGCCCAGTTCAAGAGTAGCTGGGGACCATTAGTCCCCGCTGGAGCAGTGACTGGCAAGAGCCAGGGGACAGCCCTACTGGGCTAGAAGCACAGACTTTTGGCCAGCATCTTGGACGGTGGCAAGAGGTCCTGGGAAGAGAGTGCTTTTGTCCCGGAGAGCAGAGAGGTGGGACTTCCCAGGGACAGGAGCTTCCCAGAGGGACAGGAGTGGCCTGGTTACTTGATCGGGCGCTGGGGAGAAACCCGCACTTACTGGAGTCGGAGTGTGGGCAGCCCCGCCGAGGTGCCAGAGATGGATCTCGCGGTGCTAGAGCGGCCTGGACTGCTTCCCCGGTGGCGGCCGCTCCGGGTGGGCCCGAGCTCACCTCCCCTCCCCGGTCCCTGCACCTGGCCTCTCCGCCGCAGCTCCCGGACTCTTGATTAGTGGCTTGGCTGTTTGTGCCAGTGTGTGGCAGTGGGGATGTGTTGTTTTCAGGTGACTCAGTCAGGTGGGAAGCCGGGTTTCATGCTCTTAGGTAATTGCAGCATCCGCGGGCTGGGATTGGGCCAGCTGTGGCCAACACCCCAGGGCACTGGGGAGCTTCGGACTTCCCTGAGGACTCTCTGGGGGCAGCCCTGCTTTGTGCGTCACCACGTTGCTTCCTTTTTCCCCCCACAGCCTATCTGCCTGGGGCCCTAGCCCATGGGCCTGGATCCCCAACCCCCCTCCCGCCCCCCCAGTGCCCGGGAGGGAGGAGCCCAAGGAGGGTGGGAATTAATTGAAAGGCAGGCATGTGGAACAGTTGTTGGGGAAGGAAGAGAGACCTGTCACTAGTGTGGGTGACTCAGTCCTGGGGCCTGTGACAGGCCTTCCTTAGCCAAGCCTGCAGGTATGAGAAGGAGGCGGTAGAGGGTGTGTTAACGGGAAGCAGCCCCATGCCTATAAAGGGCCGGCTCCTCCCACAGCTGGGCTCAGGGCAGGCCCGGGTGACTCTGAAGTTTGCTCTGCAGAGCAGCCTTACCTTGGGGAAGGAGGACTGCTCTCCCCTCAGCCTGACAGCCAGTCTGGCGGTTCCTCATCTTCCTGGATTTACTCCCATAGCCTCAGGGCAGGAGAGAGCAGTTGAGGGCCCGGGTCCTGCTGCCTCCTATCCTGCCTTGGGCCACCTGGGCCTTCTTTGGAGTCCCTCTGTGGAAAGGGTTGGGCCACACGGGGCTGCCCTGAATTGTCAGCAGTGCCCTGGGCGAAGCTTAGGCAGGCGGGCCTGGCTGGGAGGGCTACCGTCCTCAGAGCTGCCGCAGCCTGGGACACACGAGGCTGGCACTGTCAGAGAAGCAGGGGGATCTGGGCTGAGTCACACTTACTGGTTCTGTACAGCCCTTACTTCAAACCAGTTGGCCAGGGTCTGGCATCTTAACCCCAGTCACTCCCTTCACATTCCCCAGGTCACTGACCACTGAACTTACCCTGTGAGCGTGCACTCGCTGGGTCTGCCACAGAACAGGGCTCAGCGGTTGGCTCTGCTCCGCAGCCCCCCTGGCCTGGCTCACTTCTGTGCCAACTCAGATGGGCTTCACACTTCACATAGCTGCAGCTACACTGATGGGAGAAGTGATTTCGTTCCCACTGCAGACCTTATCAGGGTGTGGGGTGGGTGGATCTGAGCGCCACTGTAGAGCTGCCTCTCCACCCCACAACATTGGCGCGTTGGGTTGGTTGTTTATTATTCTTTTGATTATTAACATAGAGCACTCTTTAATCCCCTGCACTGCGCTGGCAAGATCATAAAAGAAGGCACGGGCCCTGCCCTCCTGCAGCCCTGGTGTGTATTTTTAGGAGGCGGGTGGCCTCATGCTTGTTTCTCCTTCTAGTGCAGGGCTGACTGAGCCTGTGTCTAGGGCAGGGCTCCCTTCTCTTAGTCCTGGCAGGAGCCAGACCGCGGGGAGGGGGCAGTGGTCTCCTGCACCTCTGACGGCGCCTTCATTGGAAACCTGTGAGAAGCCCGAGCCACGGGTGGCCAAAAGGAGTGACAAATAAAGGGCGGGGAGGAAATGAAGGGAGACAGGGCCTGGCTGGCGCACGCAGTGATTCAGCCCGAGAAGATGGAGCAGGGCTGACTGTTGATGGGGGTTGCTTGTGATGGGTGGGAGGAGAGCCCGCGGAGAAGTACCGGGCAGCCTCACTCCTTGACTCAGGACTGTAGTTCTGCCTAGGCCGTCCTCCAAGTCTGGAGTGGGGGGCTGTGCCCTGCCGCCCTGACCGCCATCCCCCGGTCCCCTCTGTCCCCCAGGGCTCAGTGCTGTCCGAGAGGGACTATGAGAGCCTCGTCATGATGCGCATGCGCCAGGCAGCTGAGCGGCAACAGCTGATCGCCCAGATGCAGCGGGAAGATGAGGTGGGGCAGCCCACGTAACCTCTTGCCTCCAGCCCACCAGCCCACCCACCCACGGCCCTCTTCCTGAACATCACCAATAAACTTTCTTTTTTTTTTTTTTAACAACAGTCTACCTCTATTATATCTGTAGGTGTTGGGTGCCAGCCTGCCCAAGCATGGCCATGGTGGGCTCTGCCTGAGAGGGTTCCACCCAGGCCTGGCTCTCCCTCCCCAGGCATGAGCAGACCCCCAGGGAGGTGCTCCACACAGTGAGAGTCAGTGAGCCGGCAGAGCTGAGGGGCAGCCATTCATCACAGGCCTTTATTGGCTTGGACTAGCTACGCAGGACCTTCCTGCCCAGTCCTGGGGCCATGCTCCTGGGGGGGCTCCCAGCTCCTGGAAAGGGATGCCCTGGCTCTTCCGGGCCCCTCAGCCTGCCCACGGGACATGGCCTCCTCCAGGGCTCTCAGCCAGGCCAAGAAGCTGGAGGGGCAGCTGGGCGCACCAGGGCAAGGGCCCTGCCCTCTCCCCCTGGCTGAGGCACGTTTCAGAAAAGGCCATTCACTGCCCAGTGGTTCCAGGCTAAGGAATATGACAATTTGGGAGGAGACTGAACGGGCACTCAGGATCAGGGCCCACGGCAACCGCTCAAGAAAGGGGTGCTCTGTGTGCTCCTCAGCGGGAGAGGGTCACTCCTTGTGCAGGCACCACACCAGCGTCTGGCCCACCCCTGTCATGCTCAGCACACGGAAGCCCCTGCGTTCCAGTTTGTCCAGGACGATGCGAGGAGGATCGCTGACAAAGTACTCATAACTGTGAAGAGAAGGGGGGGAAGGACAGCCTGAGGGGGCACATAGCGCCAACTCCTCGCACACAGCTAATGTCTGCTGATGACGAGGCCTGGTCAGGAATCCTGGTAGTGACTGGTATTTGCTGTGTGCCTTTTAGGTGCCGGGCTAAGTGCACACTCCTTGCCCCCTCCCCTGCTAAGCACTTGGCTTGTAGATCTTGTTTCTTCCTCCCAACAACCTAAGGAAGGTACCATGATTGTTCCCATTTTATAAATAAGAAATCTTGGAGGGGATGGGTAGCTTTCCAAATGTCATAGGGATCGTAGAGCCCATGTTAGTCTGATGACAGCCCCATGTACTCTGGGCCACTGCACTATCAGGAGGAATGGCCTGTTCTCTCCAGGGTCCTCCCCCACGGCTCTGCTCCCTCTTGCTGCCCTGCCTGTCCCATAGCTCCTGGCTCTGGGTGCTGCCCCCTAGCACAGAGAATGCTGTCCCTTCTTTCAGGGTTGACTGATTGTGAAGGGTTGTCAGATAAAGGGCTCAAGCCCCAAGCTGGGCATCTTGAGACAAGTGCCTCATGGTAAAGGAATGGGGTTGGCTTCAGCCCTCCAACCCTGACCCAAGGGGCTGGGGCCAGCTTGCCTCCTCTTTCCCCTCTTTGAACTGGGGCTCATTCTTGCAGCACTTCTCACGAGTTCCACGCCTGTGAAGCTGGCGCGAACGCCAGGGGAAGTGGCCAAGTCCCCAGGCAGCAGCTGAGCTGGAAGGAGGACCCGGGCTGCCTGCTGCCCGTTTGTAGAGTTCAGCTTTCTTACTCAACCAGCTCGAGAGAAACCTTTCTCTCTGTGCCTTTCTTTGTCTTGGTGGGGTCCAGCTCCGAGATGAGAGGACAGGGCCAGGAACAGTCCACCTACGGAGTCCTCTACCCAGCTGGACTCCGTCCTGGGGTTCCCTTGTGAAGGGAGGGCCAGTGAGAGCTTTCAGAGCAAGCCTGGGGGGCTGCAGTAAAGCTGCAGACAGGACTGACCCCACAGAGGACAGATCCCCATGATGCAGGCAGGGCCTCTGACGCTAGGCAATGGCATCGTCCCTGGGCTTGGCTGTGTAAAGGAAACAGGGGCAGGTCTCGGGCCGGCAGGGAGAAGATCCTTAGGAATGCCACTACTTACAAGTTGCTTCCCAAGGTGCTTCTCTTTGAGGCTCCCAGATACTGCATCAGCTCTGGATCTGAGTGCTCATCGCCCACCATGGTCGGGCCCACCTCCTGCAAGATAAGCCACAGCAGCTGCTTGGCTGGCTGCCAGGGAGAGGTGGAAGGTCTCTCTGTCCTTCCTCCCCTGCCTGCTGGCCCTGAGCCAGTTTCAGTTCAAGGCTGGACCAGGTGCAGAGGAACACTGGGGGCTGAGCACGAGCTGGGAATGGGTGGAGCCCTCAGTGAGCAGGCCGGGCAATGTGAGGCGTCCCTGGCCCCTCCATCCAAGCTGAGCTGGACATTGCCTGCCTCCTGGCAACTTCCTGCCAGGCATCACTATCCGTGTTTGTATGTATCCCAATCACCTGGAAAACAGAAATGAAAACAGGTCCACACAAAAACTTGTACAGGAGTGTTCACAGCAGCATTATTCACAAGACCCAAAAAGGGGAAACAGCCTAAGTGTTTGTCAACTGACGAATGAATAAACTGTGATGTAGCTAGACAATGGGATCTTATTTGGCAAAACAGCAATGAGTTAGGTACCCATGCATCCTACAATACGGATGAGCCTTGAAAACGTAAAAATGAAAGAAGCCAGACACGAAAGTAGATTAATGGTTATCTAGGGCTGGGGGGCTCAGAGGCAGTGAGGAGTGACTGCTAAGATACAGGGCATGGGTACAGGGTGTCTTTTCAAGGGGATGGAAATATTCTAAAATTGATTAGGTGATAGCTGTACAACTGAGTATGCTTTAAAAAATATTGAATTGTACACTTCAAATTGGTGCATTCTATGACATGTATGCTATATATCAGTAAAGCTGTTATATTTATTTAAAAAAAAAAAATCGGGGCACCTGGGTGGCTCAGTCGTTAGGCGTCTGCCTTCGGCTCAGGTCATGGTCCCAGGGTCCTGGGATCGAGCCCCACATCGGGCTCCCTGCTCAGGGGGGAGCCTGCTTCTCCCTCTCCCACTCCCCCTGCTTGTGATCCCTCTCTAGCTGTGTCTCTCTCTGTCAAATAAATAAATAAAATCTTAAAAAAAAAAAAAAATCCCCTGAAGAGCACTGAATTCCTAAGCCTCAGGCTTAGTATTTTGGAAGGTCTGGGAAGGGGCCCAGGAGTGCAGGTTTTAACTGCCCAAGTAACTGGGTCTCAAACCACTGCCCTAGGGCACCGCCGAGACCTCACCTGTCCCTTGGCGACCCCTCCCCCACCCGCCATCTCCATCTCAAAGGAGCTGTGCACGTGCTGATGGATCACCCAGGCTCCTGGGGAGTGGGAAAGGACGGAGGTGCTGGCTGGGGTGTCCGGTCCTACTTTTCTGAAGTTAAAAGGGGATTCCTGGGGCGACCAGCACCGTCTTGGACGAGGAAATTTCACCCAGAGAAAGGGGCGTCACTTCTGACTCCGGAATGGTCTCCCCCTTCTTTCTCTCCTAAAGGCTTTCTGCAAGTGCCTGAGGGTGCTATCAGTGGCTGTGGATGGGCCCGGCACTTGGCATAGGTGTTTTAGCGTCTTAGCACGTCCTTTTCTTTTCCAAACCTCTTTCCCCCAAAATATTTCCACTCCCACCCGCCCACCCCGTAACCCCTGCGGAGCTGCTCTGTGTAGGGCACTGGGTGCTGCACACGTGAGGCCGGGGCTTCCCCTGGCTTCCTCGGGCGGGCGGGTAGGACAGGAGCCGCAGGCGCCCCGAGCCCACTCGGCCGCGGGGACGCACGCACCCCACCCGCTTCGCGGCACTGGAAGCACCGGCCGGCCAGACTCCCCGAATCCCGCGATCCCGGCTGAGTGCGCTCCCCAGCCTCCGACCCGCGGCCCGAGGGGGCGTGTCCGGGCGGCTTCCGGGTCCAGTCACTGGCGGGCGCTGCCCGAGAGGGAGGCGCCAAGGTGCAGTGGCAGCGCCTTCTGCCCCGGCCCGGGCCCGGCCCCGGCCCCAACCAACTCCATCCCAACTCGCGGGGCGGCGTGTACTCACCAGGCGGATCTGGGTGCTGATGAGCACGTAGGGCATGGTGCGCGCGTCCCGGCCAGGCTCCCACCCCGGGCTTTGGGCTCGGCGCCGACGCCAGCCCCTTGAGCTCTGGGACTGCGACCCGCCGCCCAGAGTCCGGTTACTCCAGCTCTGGCCTCGGGCGGCGCCAATCCCAGTGCGCCCGGCCCGTGACCGCCGCGGCCGGCCAATCAGGAGCGGGCGCCCGTGACGCGCCCCCGCACTTGAGGATTCGGGCCCGCCTCCTGCCCTCGGGGCAGTGCTCTGGGACATTGGCGCGCTCTCGCTGCCTGGAGTAGGGGGTGGGCCAGAGGGCTCGGCGGGCCGCGGCGGGCCGTGCTGCAAAGCGGGCGTGTTGGCCGTGCGCCCTCTTTCTGCAACACCTCGGGCACTAAGTTCCAAAGTCCTGCTGGTCCCCACCCCCGTCCCCGTGAAGCAAAGCAGGGAGGTATCGGCGACCCTCCCAAAAGGTCCCTCCCAAGCTGCAACCCACCCCCACCCAGGGACGCCTCTAAAGCTCTTAGCGGATCCCCACTTCCCGTCCCCAGGACACGTTCTCCGGGGACTCCGTCAGCGCACGGGAGACAGGGGTGGGACGCTTGTGGCTAAAGCTACAATACCACCTCGTGTGCACTGCGCAGTTTCGCCTCCCTGACTGTAATTTCTAGTGCAGCCGCCGAACCTTGCATTTCTGTGGCCCCATAGGTAAATCTGTAAAGGAACTGTTTGTTTGGCTGTGTGCCAGTCCCGGAGGGATTTAAACCAATGGAATCTGGCCCCCGAGAGAAGGAGCGCACGCGCGGGAAATCGCTAGGCAACACCTGAAGCAGAAAGACTATATCCCGGGCACCAGCCCCGGATGAGAGGGCAGCAAGTGCACCTCGGTGTGTCCACACCCTCATCTAGATGTTTCAAAATCTGAAAACTCAAAAGATTCTTTACCTGCCTTGTGATTGACTCTCTAAAAAAGCAAAAAGAAACAGCCTGTAACCTTCCTGGCCCTTGGACAATCTTTGGGCACTTACAGGCCGTGCTCTGTGCCTCGGGCAGCTTGACGGATGTGGAGAGCGCAGTAAGGGAAACAGGCAGGTGTAAACCTAAAGATCTCTTACTGGTCTGTTTGACTATTCTGTACTCT